ATGTCACTGCTTTCAACACAATGCGCTTGAAAAGATGAAAACAGTCTTCCCGATTCAGCATATTGAGGAAAGCACCACGCTCCAGCCGCAAATCTCTAACTGAATTCAGTCACCTAATGAGGTACGCAACTGCCAAATTCTTCCAAGTTAGTGTCATCGTTTATAATAATTGAAGTAACCCCATTCATCTTGCGCCAGCTATGTCTATTGAGGAAAGGACGCTCCATGCTTCGGTGAATGTTTCTGTCTGCCAGAAAAATAAATTCTGAACGGAATATATATATATATATATATATATGTGCACATGGATTAAGATGCATGAATATATACTCATTGATTTAGAACTAAAGTCATAAATTTCGATCCACAGGCAACCTTAAGTGCTTTTTCAAGGGCATTTACCCCAAAATGTTTCATGGATTAAACTAAAAATTTTCAGCTTTTGGCTCGTTTTCAAGTTAACAGTTTTTTTTTCAGCCAAAGTTTGTGACAAAATAAATGACGAAGACTACTTTCAGCTTTTGTCTCATAGATTGCCGAAGATTTTTGTTTACCTGCCCTAGTAACTCTGGATCACAATAATCCTAGCATACACATAACTACACATACACACATAAGCACGCACGCACACTAAGTGGTAAAGCTGGTGGTGAAGAGGAGGAAGAGAAAAATAATGCCCAGTAAAACATACATATGTGAAATATATAATAATAATATATATATAGGTTTAAAGTATTTGTACAGTTTTTCTTATACTATTTTTATTAGGTTTAGTAGGTTTTATTTTAATCAAGCACAGCACAATGCATATCTGAGAGATTAAGGATGAATAATATTAACGAAGCAGAAGTAAGCAAATTGTGACGTTTCCGCAAAACAAATGTGCACAGCAGCATATAAATGCAGCTGCCGCCTGCCTGCTTATTTATAATACTCCAATCTTATCTATTATTTACGCGCTTTGCGGATTTATCAAATTCTTTTTTAACTATGGATCGTATCTGAACATTTATTACCGCCAAGCTTTAATCTTCGTGTCACTATGAAGTTCAGCGACAATTTTTATGCGCATTGCGCTGCAGTAGAGGCGCAAAAGCATGAAAATTGCATACCGTCGAGATCTCTCTATGTGACTTTTCTACGAAGTTTTCATTCTCACAACCAGGAAAACTAAAGATGTTTCCTGCCCACATATGACTCAGCAAACTCAGATTAGCCTTCTACAAACGCGTGACAGGCAAATTTACTATGTCAAGAAGCAGTGGAGGAACAGGGATGGAATTTTGCGAGTATACTTTATGTCCGTGTGCGACGCAAAGAATTTAAAACGCATGCCCACATTTTGTGCACGGGCGCGTAAAGCTTTTAGCAGTAAACACTATAACTTGAAAAAAAGACAGTAAGTTGAGCATTCAGGAAAGTGTTGCTGTCAACGAGAATCTCTGAGACTTCAGTTTGGCTCTCACATAAACGTAAGTCTCTGGCACGGACACTTGAAAGTTTAGATGAGAAATTTTCTAACTCAGAAAGCAAAGAAGAGACAAAGCTGGAAAAACTGGGAGAACGCTTCCTGACCTTGGTAATACAAATTTAATTTCCACGTACATCAAATTCTCACGTATAAACATGTGAAAATCTAAGTGGGAAGTTGTTGGCATGTTTGAAGCCCCGCTGACAGTACTGAGCAAAATGCGCCATCGAATCGGCTACCTGGTAAACACCGCTAACGGTCCGACAGCTCCTGTAAATTTCAAGAGGAAATAAGGCATGTCCTGGAATCTAAACATATTACTAAAATTGAATAACGTTCTGGACGATATAGTGAAGTTCGACACATGCTAAGGGCACCTCGAACTGACTAAAGCCTTGCTAGGCGCTTCTTTCGGAAAGAATCGTTAAGTTAAAAAAACATCTCTGTAGGGAATGAATTTCAGGATCACTAGCAGAGTAATGCGAAGTAAGTGAAAATGATGAATGATCTGATGAGCCAAATGCGCAGAAGAAAGTGTAGCGTTTGCTGCTCAAGTAAATGAAGGAATGCTAAATCAGGCCTAATGACAGATGAAGGAAGCACGTAAATATCAAGTTGAAGCAAATCCTTTCTAAGAAGGGAAGCCAATCCCTAGCGCACTGGCTATTGCAATATTATGCTTATTAAGTAGAAGGGACCACTGCTACGATCAGTCCGTGAAAACTTCAACTCCCCTATTTAAAAAATTAGTAAGTTTAGGAGGAAGTGAAACATGCAAATCACATTTTTCGCATGTCCACGTTCTGTAAAAATTGAGCAGGGAAGAGCACGGACCTCACATCTAGACAGTAAGGTTCCTTCTCTTGCCCCCAATAGTGAAGCATATCATGAACATAATCAATGATCAGTGCAACTTCAACCATGCATTTAAAACTATTTGTTATTAGGATACAGTTCGGGATGCTTTTTCTCAAAAGTGGTGCGATTGGAAAGTTCGCTGTTGTTGGAAGGTCCCTGAAAGGTTCTTTTTTTTCCACGAGGATGCTACGAAGCTTTTTGATTTGCATGAATCCCACACACCAACCCGTTAAGTGTTGCTAAAATGTTTTAATCGCTTTAGAATTGCGCATGCAGATCGTTCATCTTCGTGATACAGTAATTTCTTCATTAGTGCGTAGCTGAGAACAATGTTACTTGAGAACAAGCAATATGAGAATATGTGATAACAAAAAAACAGAATTGTTGTACATAGCACTTATCATATTTTTAGGTATGCTTTTGTGCAACACACCGAAGTCAAGCATTCTAGGAGAAGGAAATACAAGAAATCTTGTAATCTGGAACCCAAAACTAACTAGACAAATTGGCTTGACTTTAGTAAAAGCTAATTCAATCTGGAACAGAGCAGGGTACAAAAAATAATGATAAACAATGACTTGTGCGCAGAGGCGCACATTAAGTTCTGCTTGAAAACATACGTATTACTTCAGAAGCATTACTCAGGCAATTTACACACTAAGTGATACTAAAAAATGAAAGACTGACTCAAGTAGAAGAGTGGGATCAAAACAGGTGTTTTTTGCAACTAAAAATCCTTCTTTTCAAAGAAAAGGCGATTTTTGCGTCCCCAGAAAATTCGCTAAACGAGTTGCAGAAGATAGGCTACTTTTGATCAAGAATTCGTCGTAATTGTGGCAGTAGGCAGTTGTGGTCCACTTTTCCGGGGGATATTAGCAATCCTAAAGATTTGTCACTTCCCCTTTTCTACCCCTAGTTTTTCCTCTCCATTCCTCCTGCTATGTTTAACTTTCTTTTGTGGTCGGTATTTATTTGGTGGAACGATTCATTTTTTATTCAGCTAAGAAATAATCCTGTCAAAAAAACCACCTCCACAACATTCCCACTTCCTACCTCGCTCTTCTCCCACTCCTCCCTTCCCTGTCCCCACTCTTCCTCGTGCTTGAAAACTCTGGCAAAACCATTGTGCTTGAAAGACAAAAGTATAATTATTTAAAAAATGAGCAGTATT